TCTGTGTCCACACTGACTGTGCGTGTGTGTGCGTGTGTGTGTGTGTACACAGATACATGTGCATACGTTCTCATCTTATAGCTCCAGGCTATTTCCCTAAGCCCCACGGTCCTCTGCCCTCTTGTCCCCTCCTGGTGGCTTTTTTCTCCATCCCTTCGTTTCATGACTGTGGATCTGAGGGTGACTAAAGGCAGCAGGGGAACATTGCCAGGAAGGGATTATAGCTTCGCTCTTGGGGCTCACTGCCTGCACACTCTCCTCTACGTCTATGACTCTGTCCCCCTCCTGGTCTTCTCACCCAGAGGCCCAAGTCCTGGTTGCCCCTGGCTGAGAGATGCTTTGCCCTTTCCCTGGAGCACATGTTAAGACCCACTCAGCCAAAGCAAACTGTGTAAATGTACAAAAGATACAACTCCTAGATTGGCCGGGATTTGCATGTGACAATTTGAATAAACAGAGCATCCATCTGCAGGGAGGGAGGGTGATTCCCTAGGGAATCTCGGGTGGAGGAGGGTGGGGAAGTCAGGACAGACAGCATCCAGAAGAGAGGGAACTGGGAGCCCTTGCAGACATACCTGAGGTCCAGAGGCTTCCTTGCATTTATATGTGTCTCACACATGTGCACAGTGCTTTATGAGCACCTGCCCTGGGTGCCCAGGGCCGTGAGTCTCAAACTTCGCAATCCACCAGACACTCCTGGGAAGCTTGTTGCAAATGCAGGTCCCTGGAACCTCCTCAGAGATCCTGGTTGGTCGGGTGTGGGACTAGGGATCTACATCTTAACAAAAGAATTAAGTGACAGGAGGGTAGTGAGCAAGGGGAGAGTGGTACAAGATGAAGTCAGAGGCCAGATTGCACAAGACCATGACCTTGCTCTTTCAGATCTAGAATTTAGGAAATGCCCCTGCACCAGTGGTCCAGTCTGACAGTCTATGGTGCTGGATACACATTAGTAGGATGATGGGTCATTTTCTAAAGACTCTGGTTTTCATCCCTCCCAACTCCTTAACTAACACGGCTTCAGGGTCCCTTCCTGTCTCTGGCTCTGTGTTTCTCCATCTACCAGTATACAACAGGAGTGCTGGAATAAATGATCCCAAACTTGCCTTCTAGGACCAGATAGCCTCATTTGGTTGCAGGGTGGGGCAACCACATCTACTGGGTTTCCTGGGACAGTTCCAATTTATGCCACTTGTCCCAGCTTCATTATTCCTAACACCCTCTCTTGCTCTCAAAAGTGTCCCAGTTTGGACATTAAATTATAAGGTCATTCTATTTATGGGAGAAGGGAGGTGTATAGGACATGGCTGTCAGCAATGGGCTAGGCTCTCTGCCTTGGTTCTTATTAGGAGTTTTCTTTCTCTGAGCAAGGATGGTTTTGCAGACTTTCCAAAATGCCCAGGTAAACTTTGAAGGGCATCAAATGCAACATGGCACATTCTGCTCAGATGCTCATTCTGCTCAGGAAGATGGGGCACTTAACTAATACTGGCAGAGACTGGTGAGTGCATAAGGGCCAGCCAGTGCACTGCCTGAGCTTTGAATGGGGTTTGGCAGATGGGGAAAGATGGCAACTGGGAACACTGGGAAACAGGAGTAGATCCTTATGAAGCAAGCCCATTTTCTGGCATGGTTCTTAACGTCAGCTTACGGGGCTGTGAGGCCAGGTCTACTTTAGGAACATTTAAGGTCACATGCTCAGAGTTGTGGACCCCAAAGAGAGAGGGCTGTGGTTAAAAGACAGCTCTGGAGCCCCTCCCCCGTATTTATATGTGTCTCCCAAGAAATGAGTTGCAAATGCACATCAGCCTGCAGACAAGTAAGTGGGCTTGCAATAGGGTGTTAGGCAAGGGGGCAGAGATGTAGATTCTGTGACCATTTTGTTACCTGAGATCACCTAGGGAGGAGCAGTGGTGGAAGTTGGGGGGTAGACTAGTAATCTTTTGGGTTTAAATCAAATGGATTCTAGAGGGTAATTGATCCCAGGCTTTTTGTCTAAGATCTGGCCCTTTTACATGTGGAGACACAGCTGGTAAAAGCCCCCTCCCCCCCTTTTCATGTTAAGAAGCAATTTCTCAAAAATAAAATTCTTTAAAATCCGAGGAAGTACCCCAGGAGTTTTAAAGTGAGTTTCTTGACATTTCAATGGCTGTATTACAGCTGGGGAAAAGAGGAGGCAGAGAGAAAGAAGGAACTCAAAGAATGGGTGTTTGCTTTCTTTTCTCCTTGTTAGATTTTTTGTTTTGTTTTGTTTTGACTTGATTTTAAGATTCTGGTGGGTGGGAGTAATCTCACTGAAGAGGAAAATGAGTAACACTTGGTCAGTCTATTTACGCTCACACACGTTCATTCGCAGAGGGCTTACTATGGATTAGGTGGCATGGATGCAAAGACAAATCATGCATGAAAACTGACCACCTTCCTTCTCCCACGGTGAAGCTCTGGGTGAGCTCTCCAGATAGAGCTGCTCCTGACTGTGCCCTCGGAAAGTTTGTTCCCAGGACACGCCTTCCCCCCTTTTACTGCTATTTGCATTTGTGCTGACTTTTGTTTTTATTGAGGTGAAATTCACATAACATCAAAGGAACCTTTTTTTTAAGAGGGGGGAGGGGCAGAGGCAGAGGGAGAGAGAGAGAGAGACTCTTAAGCAGGCTCCATGCCCAGCACAGAGCCGGACCCAGGACTCAATCTCCGACCCTGAGGTCATGATCCGAGCTGAAATCAAGAGTCAGACGCTTAACCCACTGAGCCACCCAGGCACCCCTAAAATGAACCATTTTAAAGCAAACAATTCAATGGCATTTAGTACATTCATAACGTTGTGCAACCACCACCTCTGTCTACTTCCAAACCGTTTCATTACCCCAAAATAAAATCCAGTACCCATTATGCGGTTATTCCTCATTCTCCCCTTCCCCCAGCCCCTGGCACACATGTCTGTCTGGATTTATCTATTCTGGCTAGTCTACAGAAAAGAAATCACGTTACCTTCTGCGTCTGGCTTCTTTCACTTAGCATACTATTTCTGAGCTTCATGCACATTGTGGCAGGTGTCAATGCTTCATTCCTTTTCATGGCTGAATAATAGCCCATTGTATGGATATACCGCAACTGGTTTATCCATTCATCTGTGGTTGGATGTCTGGGTTGTTTCCACCTTCTGGCTATTGTGAATTGTGTTTCTGTGAACATTAGTTCACAGAAACTGATGCCCCTTTTGTTGGGGGCATCAGTTTTCAACTCTTTGGCTATATACCTAGGGCTGTCATGGCTCAGTCATATAGTAATTCTGTGTTTAACTTTTTGAGGGACCACTAAACCATTTTCCATAGTGGCTGAACCATGACAGCCCCCCTTCAGAAGACTCCCAGTTAGATTTCTCCGTAATTTAACCAAAGGACTTCAAAAAACTGAATCCTGATTTACAGATACACCAAGCAGCCTAAGTTTCTTGGTTGGTCCAGTGGGTCAGAATTCCCGCTAATGAGACACAGGTCAGGGGTTCAATCCCCAGCTGACCAGTTAGCTCGGTAGAGCAGACAGTGAAAAATTATGTCTGCAGCCACACTTTCTACCAATGCGGCCTTGCCCTCTTACAAAAGCTTGTTAGTGGCCCCAGGGGGTTGGAGCAAGAGTGGGTTTTTATGGTTCCAAATAAAAATCTAGCATCCAAGGCACAATGGGACTAATTGGAAATCAGATGACTGCTTACTTCCAGTCTTGGTTTCACCTGATTTCTGCCGGGGGGGGGGGGGAGGGGGGAGGCGTTTGGGTCAGTTGCTTAAGCCCCCACCCAGAGCTTCAGTTTCTTCCTCCCTAAAGTAGAATTCCTAATTCTTACTCCAAAGAGATGATAATGCAGCCGAAGCACTTTGCACACAGTAGGCTTCCTACTTAGTAGATGTTGATAAATCTCAAGGGTGGGCACCATTAGCATCTGCAGTGGGCTCTGAGTTACTCTCCTGAGGTTGACTGAGCTGGAATGGTGGTGTACTATTGTCCTTGGGGTTACATTGGCTGTTTCAAATTGTCCTATTTGCATGGAATGAAGCTTGCTATGGTAACAAGGTCTGGTGGCTGGCATCCAGGGCCCCAGCGAAAAATGCAAAGCCTGTGCTCTGGGAGAAAGAGGAGTTGGATAGGTTTATCAACTTTAAGGTTACCTCAGTTCTCCTTTGAAGAGGGAATGGGTAAATTGAGTCAGCAGGGCCTCAACACGCCCACTCCTCCAGTAAGGAGGAGAAAAGAGGGAAGCCCCTTCGATGCCTTCCAGTCTTCTCTCCTGGCCTCATCCCTCTCGCCCTCCAATATTTAGCCCAGCCAAGAAGCTTAGGAGCTGGCTAAGGCCAGCCCTCCACCTCGGGTGCACACGCGGGAGTTTGGGTCGGTGGGGAGACCAGAGCTCCAGTGGTGGCCCCCCCTGGGGCCGGACGGGAGAGCTCCTCCCCGGGGGAGGACACACAGTGCAGGTTGGGGCGGAGGAGGTGGGGGTGGTGGAGAGTGAGAGGCACTCAGGGCACCAGCTAAGCTCCCCGCTGCACATTGCCTACCCGCATTTTAAGGAAAGCAAAGCTCCACTCCCGAGATCGCGCCAGCTGCCCCCTCCCCTGGAGCTCCGTCCCCGCTGCTCCCCTCCCCGGCCTCTTTCCCGAACACCCCTCTCTCCCGAGCACCCACCCCCTTCTCAACCCCGGCCCGGCGCGGGGCGCCTGCTAGCCAGGGCGGGGGCTGCCCCACCGCTCCCGGGAGGGGAACGAGGGCCGGCCTTGGAGCAGGCGCCCCCTACCCCTCGCCAGGGGCGCCACCTCGGCCCACTCGCGGCCGCCGCCCGCCGCCCTCGCCCCCGGGGGGGTGTGTCCCCGAAGTGGGAGGCGCGGGAGGCCGAGGGTGCGCCCGGGGCCCCAGCCCGGGCCCCCTCCCGAGCGCGCGGCGAATGGTAGGCTCCAGTGAAAGAGTGCCGGGCGGCGCGCGGTGTCCTTCCCCGAGCCGCGCTCGGCGCCGGGGTCTCGGCGATCGCTGCTCCGCCTCCTCCTTCTCCTCCTCTTTCTCCTCCTCCTCCCCCCGCCGCCTCGCTACCGCCGCGGCTCCGGCTGGAGGCGCCGCTGTCATTCCTGCGCCGGAGGAGCCGGCGCTGCCGGTGCCTGGGGGTCGGGGCGCGGGGGAGCCGGGCCGCGGGGGACCCAACAGGTAGAGCCGGGGGTGCCCGGCCTCGCGCCCCCCCCACCCCCCCGCGCATCATGCAGCTCTTTGTCACCTCTCTCGCCCCCAGGCCAAAATCCTGAGCATGATGGAAGACAATAAGCAGCTCGCGCTCCGCATCGATGGGGCGGTCCAGTCGGCCAGCCAGGAGGTGACCAACCTGCGAGCCGAACTCACGGCCACCAACCGGAGACTGGCGGAACTGAGCGGCGGCGGCGGCCCGGGCCCGGGCCCGGGAGCAGCGGCCAGCGCCTCGGTGGCGGCGGACCCGGCGGCGGCGAACATGGAGAACCACCAGCACGGCGCGCAAGGTAGGGATCGCCCGGCGCCCAGGGCGGAGGGGGGGGGCGAGCGAGCAGGACCCGGGCCGGAGGTGGCCGGGGCCTCGGTGCCCCCCACAACCCGGGGCGAGCTCGCCTCGCCTTCTGGCTGGTAACCCTGTCCTCCCGGCGGTGGCCACCTCTGCTCCCCTGCCGGGAGTTGCAGGCTGCTGTCATTAAGGAAAACCCCGGCGCAGTGTGCACGGGTTCAAGCGGTCACACCGGCCCCGGCCAGCGGGAGCGAGGCGCAGCCGGCGGCGCCCCTCCCGCAGCAGAAAGTGCCCTTTAGGTGGCACACAGCCCCCAGCTCCGTGGGCAAACTTTTCGTGCCCGGGCCTTTGCCCCCACCCCGGGTAGGGGTGAATGCTGCAGCTCCCCCCCAGTTCCGGAGTCTCTTCCTTCCGCGAGACTCTCCCCGAGAGCGAGCTCCGGGCTCTGCTGCCTTGGTTGGGGTAGAGGATTGGACTGGCTTGCACTTTTCTCCACGGATGCCAAATCCCTTGTCTCAATTGCATCTGGACTTTATTTTCTCCCCATCTGAGATCGCGCGGATAGCGGAATATATCGATGCAACAGTAGATGCTCTGCTCAGCAGGGAGTTTAAATTTCCAGCAAATACAAACACCGAGAGCACTTTCCAGGGGGAAATCTTAGACCTCAAAGGCTGAGTGATGGGCTCCTGGCGAAATGAAGGTTTAGATGGTGGGTTGCAGGGAGCTGCTGCTGGAAGGGACTCTTCCCACTTTAGAGGAGGGGGGGAAAAAGACAGCTGGACCTTGTTGACATTGACAGTGGTGAAGCCCTGAAATGCCTGGGAGGGTTAAAGGTGGAGGAAGCATCCAAAAATGTCCTGTTTGGTTTCTGTGAATTGAAAAGTAAAAGGGTAGACTGGCTTTTCAGTTTTTTGGTTTTTTTTTTTTTTTTTTTTTTGCCTAATTGCTCTTTAAGAAATGGTATCACTGATTATTAGTATCATTTGATTAATAAACTAAACTGCTGAAATCCAGAATTTGACAGAGAAAAATGATCCAGTCTAGGAGGGCCACTTGTATAAATATGTCACTTGATGAAGTATGAGGTACCCGTAGCTCAGTGGCTCGGAGGAATTTTCTGCTTTTGTTGTTGTTTCAAGAGCTTCTCCTAAGTGTTGCGAGAGAGTGTCTGTGTTCATATTAATGCCTTCTCCCCATCAGTTTCTGTTTGCTCCTTACCTTCCTGGGGAAGGTGGGCTTTTCCTGGTGCGAGATGTTAAGCCTGTACTTAGTTTTATGCCGAATTCCAAGTCATGTTAACTTGGTACTTCGGGGAGTCAGTCAGAAGTCCTAGGAATTAGGGCGGGAATTTGGGACTGAATTAGCCATGACGTAATGGTGGGAAGGTGTTGTAAAGCTGTTATTTGCTGCAGTTTTCAAGGTGGGTATCTGCTTATTCTGTCATTTATCCCTTGCGCTGTCACTGTGTGTGGAAAGATGCTCTCCGCTGGCATCTGGAGGGAGAAAAAAAAAAGGAAGCTAGACTGCATGGTAATGCTTTCTTCTTTATAGGCAGAGACTCTTCCAACATTAAAGAAATAGCTAAGAACTGGCATTCTGCTAAGAATCAAAAGCCATGGTAAGGAGGACTGAACAATGCTGGTTTATTTCCCACCGTCTGCCCCTTTTTCTCAGCCAAGGAAAAGTTAAGTGGCTTTCCTTTGAGTCCTGGGTCCAGTTGCAGACTGAGCATGCTAAGGAGGTCAGTACGGCGGTGATCCATGCACCCAACTTGGAAATTGAGATGCTTAGCTGATGGTTAAATTGTTGTAATGGAGCAACAGTGGGCGGTTTCCTTCTTCTCTTTTCCTACAAAAATGCCCTAGGCTGTGGAAATGACTTTTGGATCTCTTGCTATCCTTCAAAACACCCAAAACCAGCATGCACCCTCATGCTCCTAGGAGTATGCCTGCCCGTGTCAATAAGCCGTCTGTGGGGGGGCTGGATGAAGGATGGTCTTGATTTTTCCCTTGTGTATCCTTGATATTTTTCAACACCTTTACCAGGGGGAATTTAGTGATTTTATAATCGGAGAATAAAATGTTAAAGGTTTTAACTCAACTTAATTGTTGGCCACGTATCCCTCTAAATTGATGTGAATTTAAACGAAAGTTATGGTTGAAAAGAGAACAAGCTCCCCCATATAATCCAGTAGGGTATCATTTACTTTAGCTCTACAGGAGTACCCCAATCCAGTACTTTTTACATTAGTTAGCCTCTGTGAGTTTTTTTGGTTTTATTTTCTTGTTTTGGTTTGCTCTCATGACCCATGGCAGCATTCCGCTAGAACAGAAACCCGCTATAGACGTGTTCTGGTGGTTTCTTCGGCTGGTGCTTTTGTATTCCTAAAGGAAAGCGTGGGGTTCTCTCAAGTTAATTCTAAAGTGTGGTCGATTGGTTTCCTCATGCTTCTTCATAATATACCTCAAGCTCGGCTCCTGGGGGTTCCTGACTGTTCTTCCGAATTTGTCTTCTGTTTTAATTTTGTCTGTGTTGGGGAGATTTAATGGGCCCAAGCCGTGGGAGCGTTTGGTGCTATTGAGTTGTCCTTTTTCAAATCAAAGTTTTGAATGAAATGAGTATCTTTCAAAATGTATCTGTAGAAATCGTATTTTACTAAAGGGCATTATGCACATATTAAATGAGTGCTAATGCACTTTTAATAACAGTAGCACAAGTGGTTACGGGGAAGAGTCACCTCTTGCTCTGCCTGCCAAGAAGTTGTTAGATCTATTTTCAAATTTTGGGTTAAAATTTTTTTACTGAATTACACAAGCTCATCAATTCACCATGGGAGTTTTGTTCCAGCGATGGTACCTGACACTAGGTAAGTCAACGAAGAAAACTTGGGGTTTTCCTAGAGAGTTAATACAGTGTGTCATTTAAACAAAATATTAACTTGGTTGGTACCCTGTGTGAGCTGGCTTGGTTGCTATGTAACAGAGTCTAGAAAGTGAACTGCTGAAAATCTGGGCTTTCGACACTTTGCAGGATCTTCTTTCGGAATCTGTGTTGAAAGAACACTTGGCAGCCAGCCCATCTCCTCTCTCCCTGCTTCGAGTGAGTTGGATAATCCCTAATGAGGATGCTGGCATCCAGTGCAGAGGGTATCCAGGCAGGGCGGCACATTTCACAGCTCCGGAGCTGCGTCTTGGGTTGGGCGGGGGCGGGGGGGGGGGTCAAAACTGCCTTTGACAGGTGGACAGAAGGAGCCTCGGAAAGAACAGAGCCAAGCATTTGTTCCAATTTGTCTTGTTGTTGGTAGCCAGAGAACGGATTTGTTTAAAGTAACATTTCTAAGCTGTTTTCCTCGGCGTAACATCTCTGGAAAATGTGTTTAAAATGCTTGCTGTTGTTTGAGGGGAAAATATAGCAGTTTGTTTCTCTGAAAATGTTTTATCTGATGAATGACTAATATTAGATTCAATTGGTTGCTTTGCTATGCATAGAATAAAACAATTAAGCTCCATTGTACCCATTTCAAATAGGTGTTAACTCTATATACCATAAAATACTTGTGTCTCGTAAGATGTATGCCTACTGCTATTAGTTTGTTGGGTTTTTTTTTTTTAATGAAGTAATTGTATTTATATGCCTATGCAAGTGGGAGTGCGGATAGCATCTTTTTTGGGTGCTGAGGACTCAGAGCCCACTGCATTTGTTAGGACTAGGATGGAGAAAAGGGTCATTCTCCTACACCTTGGTCAACTTCCATAAATAGATGCAAGCTTTATTTTTTTCTCCCTAGGCGCTAACATAGGCTGTTACTTCAGGTCTGACTGTTCGTATCTAGCATCACTACAACAGTGGAAATTCTGCGATGAAGTATGAATTACTTCTGGACTGAATTGAATGTGTGAGCAGTCTGCAGAAACACTAGACACTGTGGCTTTGCAAAATAAGGCATCCCCTTCCCAATTCATTCTACCTACGCTCTTGTTTTCCCAAGTTGACTTTTATCTTTTTTTTTTTTTTTTGGAGAAAGAATTTTCAAATGGCAGAGAAGATGGAACGAAATGGCGTGGAATCTCAGAGGTCCCCTTCTGTTAGCCCCTTCTGTTAGCTTGCCCCCAATTTATGGACCTTGAGTCACGTCTGTCTTGGTTTTCCAGCTGTATCAATGGGCTGAAAGAGACATGTGTCTTTTCCTAATCTGGTAGGCTGTCATGAGATGGGACTTCAAAGTTCTTCCTGAAAATCACCGTGCGTGGTTGCAAAGAGATTACTTACAGATCAGTACAGCGTGGTTGAAATTAGTTATTGATTGGCTATTATTTACTGTCTTCCCATTGTCTTTGGAAAATGCCTTCGGAGGACCCCTGAAGTCAAGTTTCTGGCTCTGATTAATTTAATGCTTCCAATATTTCATGATTTATGGAGGCTTTTCAGAACTCCTTTGATATTAACCAGAAGTCTAAGCCAATCTGATTTTTATATTGGAGCACTGTCCCATATCCTCCCAGGGCAAGGCAAGCCATGTTCTCTCCATTCCTTTACCCCCCAACTCTCCAAGACTGCTGGCACTTTTGAGGAATCCTGTAGGTCATAATTTGTGACTTGCCGGCTGCCACTGAGCTTGTGGCAGATGGGCCTGGCAGGTGGGGTGTGCTGGTTGGAATGTTGCCTGCTCACTGTGCAAATCATATGGGGCCCAGAAGGTCACGCTTAGGGTCCTGGCCATATTCGTTGCCTATTTTGTCTATATTTATTCCTGAGTTATATAGATAAGTGAAATCAACATCAATTCCCCAGTTCTTTTCAGACCTTTTCCTGGACTGGTTTGTGTGAGCTTTAGCGCTTGGCTTCTTACTCCCTGCCCTCCGTCAGGCAAGAACACAACTCATTCTACCCGCTGAGGCCAGTGATCTTGTACATGAAAATTAGTCTGTACCGTTTGGGCTGGATATCAGGGTCAGTAACACCTGGGATGACAGGGGGTGCCACCAACAGCACTCATCA